TCTGTGTAGGGAATTCCTTTAAGCCCCAAAATGCAACCCCTGGTGTTCTGATTCAACAGCAGTGATATGTCTTGTTGCAAGGTGGTGACCCGAATTGTTCAAAATATTCTTAAATGAGTTCTTACTAACGATTGTACAATTTTAACATACTATCCCTTTATTTTTTAAAACATAATTCTAAGCAGGTGTGAGCCTGGCCAGTACCTGGATGGGAGACTCCTGGGAAAAACTAAGGTTGTTGCTGGAAGAGGTGTTAGTGGGGCCAGCAGGGGGCGCTCACCCTGCGGTCCGTGTGGGTCCTAATGCCCCAGTATAGCGACAGGGAAACTATACTGTAAACAGGCGCCGTCCTTCGGATGAGACGTAAAACCGAGGTCCTGACTCTATGTGGTCATTAAAAATCCCAGGGCATTTCTCGAAAAGAGTAGGGGTGAAACCCCGGCGTCCTGGCCAAATTTCCCATTGGGCCTCACCAGTCATGGCCTCCTAATAATCTCCATCTATAAATTGGCTTCATTACTCTGCTCTCCTCCCCACTGAGAGCTGATGTGTGGTGAGCGTTCTGGCGCACTATGGCTGCCGTCGCATCATCCTGGTGGATGCTGCACATTGGTGGTGGTGGAGGGGAGTCCCCATTACCTGTAAAGCGCTTTGAGTGGAGTGTCCAGAAAAAGCGCTATATAAGTGTAAGCAATTATTATCATTAATTATTAAGTTTTTTTTAATTACTTTTCTAACAATTTGTTTGACATTTTTCCCTTCCACCACACTGACGAAAACCTGATCAATGTTGATACATTTTCCTTTTGCCATTCTCTGGAACCTAGAGCAGTAACTTTGTGCTTTTGAAAACCATGCATTACTCTGTTTTCTTTTATTTTTTTCAATAACCAAAGCAGAACACATTAAATTCGTCATCGTAAACTGTGATCTGCTGTGCTGGTCCGGCTGTTTTCAGAAGAGCAGTTGAGTAAGCTGATGAAATCCCAGAGCCAGACAGCGTAGGTGTTGCAAATGTTAAAAAACTACATGGGGGCTGGATCTGCTCGTGCAGTTCAGTTTTAATAATTGAAGAATATTTTTTCCCATGTAATCTCTGGGTATTTTGAAACCTATGAACGTACCATAGCTGTCGCCCCTGAAAGAGGAAACTGCTGCAGAGCTCGAAACAGATGGGCTTGGACCAGGACTGCACTGTCCCCCCTGTCCACAGAAACGCCCAGCCTTCTCTGCGCTGTGATGCTGCGCTACAGCGATTTGCAGAAAGACTATCACTACTACGGTCAATCAAACCTGGCAACCAAGCACTTACAAAAGAAAAAAAAAAACTTTCACCTCAACAATGATTTGTACTCACTGCAATACTGTGTTTCAGCACTCAACGTTGTGCTGTTGAGCTGCACAGACCAAAACCCGATCTCGAGGTTCTTGTTTGAGCGTGGCAAGCAGAAATTGCTCCTGACATTGACTGTCTGTGCCTGCCAACACCTGGTTAATCCTGTTCTCTGGGCTCTAGGCTGCAGATAACCAAGCTTAATAAAGACGCATGGAAGCACACATTGCAAGTGGCTGAGTTAAGCTTAATGCATGGCTGAAATCACCCATAATGTACAGCACCTTTACATAACTGTTACTGCAGCTCCAGCAAACCACAGCCACGTCCCACAAGCAAGCCCACCCCCTGCCGCTGGCAGTGAAGGTCTCCTGGCCTGCACTGTAGCTCTGATTCGACTGATGGACACCTCAAATTACACCAGTGCACCCCAAGGGGAGTCCTACCTAGTGACCCCTCCTAACAGCGGTTACATGGGGGCATAATACCTCCCTCATTCTCATTAGTGTTGCCTTGAAAGCAAAAGCCGTTCTTTGTACTGGAACCGTAAGCACTTATTAAATTGGCATGGTGCAGGGATATTTTACAGCAGGTGTTAAGCATAGGTAGCTGCAAAGGCAAATAAATGTTCTCTCTTCCAACAGCTGCACAACACAGAGATGAACAATGAAATGTCCAACCGAAGTCACGGAAAACAATGGCACAGTGCACTGACAGAATGTCTGAAGTTTGCAATTAAGCCACCGCATGAAAACACAGCTGCTGGTATTCAAAGTGAGCAACTGATGGGTTTAAAATAGGTCGTCGCTTGAACAAAATGAAAATGAAGGGCACCGATCAGTTGGCAGCAACAAGGCTTCTGCACACAGTGTGCTGGATAACCTCTGAAAAGGTCATGGAGGAAACACTGTTCATTGGGAATTAATCAGCATGAAATCACAGCCATTCACCCCTGCCTTCAATAGCCCCTGCACACTGTTAAAGGTCCCCACGCCAGGCAGAAGTCAACCACGTCATGCCCTGTCCCCCTAATTTCAGTAGTTTGATTTGTTGGGTTACATTTACTGGGAGGACTGGGAGGGCATTGCGCTGAGGGAAGAAAGTGAGGGGAAGTGATCAGTGAACTGGCAGCATGGCTTCAATGGCTATTTGCTCCAGTTTTCTAGCCCTGCATAAAAAAACATTTTGTAAAGACTGTGCCAAAGTACAGAAATAACGTAATAGGTGGATTTCACTACGGTGCCTCCCGCTAATCGTGCGTTGTTTTATAATTAACCTTCACAATTATGGGGAGCCAATTATGCTCAGCGGTTCAAAAACGACCCCAGAGCCCCACGCGAAAAGGACACTGCTGTGAGAGCAAGAGAAACCTCAGCTGGATGTGCTGAATTCAAAGAAAATGGATCCTGGTGGCACTTCGGCCGATAGGTCTAATTACCTTATGTGATTAGTTTCACAGACTAACTGCCATCCACAGGCTAGCAAGGTATACACACTGTGTGCTGTTTGCTCTACATGAAGAACTAAGAGGCTTGCTAGACAGGGAGCCAATTACCTGGCCACTTGGAGTCCTTTTCTTCAAATTCCACATATCCATTTCTGTTCTTTCTGTGGCACACATTTCACATTTCATTGTCATCTGTCCTTAGAAACATGGGGCTTTGTGCTATGAATAAAAGATCAAGAAAGCACATGAGCAAAGAGGTGTGATTTCTGTCAGCTGACTCAGCAAAATGGGTCTCTTTTCATCCTAAGCCACTTGAGAAAACACATTTTTCACAAACTTAAATCAATATTTGGTAGTATACTTTATTTTTTCTCCTATATTTATCATCCTCACAGTTTTTTGTTAAGGTGGTAATAGTTTACTATAAGTGGTAAGCTATTTCATTAGTTTCAACTTTCCCAATTAAACACCACCTGTTCAAAGCTCATGACCTGAGCGTGATCTCTGCACCTGAATGTTGCTGAGCCGCCTGATGATGCTCCTTCCTGCTCCCCTTACACTCAGGTGAGACAGTTTCATGGGTGAGGCTGCACCCAGCATGGGGAGGCGTTTTGACAGTGGGCAGCGCTTACCTCTGCATAAGATGTGGACATCATGGAACATTCAAAAGGAGAAGCTCTCACGTTCTTTGGAATCTCCATGAGCCCCTCCCCTAAGCAATAAAAAACAAAACAAGTTAATGCTAGAAATCTTTTTTTTAAATGCTCTTTTAAATGTGTGCCCATCATGGCTCCTAAGACAGCTTCAAGTGTCACCAAACTGGCCTCCCCATAGGTCCAGCCACCCCCACCTGTTCATCATTAATCTCCCAAGCCTCTGAAGAACACGATGTACCCATTAACATGTCCACAGCAGCAGCATAAATGCATAAAGCAGTAAAATAACAGAAAAAAACGGGCTGTCTATTTTAGACGCCACCTTATCGGTCTGCTGTGAGTGGGTGCCGTGAGAGGCGATTCATTTTTTATAGTGTTTTTTTTTTTTTGCAGGAGTCAGTACAGTGAGCCCTGCCTGTGTGGGAGTAAAAGCTGAACACGGTGTTCCCTGAGCAAGAAAAGCGAAAATCCCTGCAAGGGGTTATTTTTAGACAAAACAATGAACATGCAGTCTATCAATAATAAGATACATTTTGCTGGTTGTGAAGACTAACTGAATCCTGTGTCGTGGCGAGTCCAGATTCTGGATCTGTTGCTGTCATGATGTAGGGGTAATGTATTAAGGCATTACAGCTAATAATATTATGACGTGTATACAGTGCAATAATTATTATTCCTTTTATTCTCAGCATCCAAATTTCTCTTCGTAAGCCTTATCTATGGCTTCCATTATAAACTCTAGTTCCTATTCAGAGCATTAGGATCTGGTGGAAACGAAAATAAAACTGCAGATTTTGCAGGTATAAAAATAAACCTCTTGCTTCAATAGTTTTTCACCTTTCAATAGTGCACACCTTTGTTTTGATTAATTCAGTGCCTGGAAATCAATTGTTAAAGATCAAAGTCATGTTTTGAACAATACTCTGTATAATTGGGTTTTTATTTGAAACACAAATTCGGAGATGTATCGTAATTACAGGAGCATGTTTTCACCTCACCACCTCACCCACCCCCATCTTAAACTGTCAAGGTCTGGAGAAAAGAAATCAAATTACCTTGAAAAGAAAGACAACTGTACGTGGGTAATTCCAGATGTCGTGTTTAGAGTCTGTGGCTTTCAAATCTGGCTAACTGGTGTAATTGCCAGCACTAGGATTCTGCTCACTGGGGACAAGTGTACTCCATTCAGAATTGTCCTATACAGTAGTATTATGTCACTGGCCCTGCTTACCAAAGAAATCTGCTTGCCTGCTGGTGTCACTAGGTAACAGGTGAAACAATCAGAACAAGACCAGGGTGTGAGTATCTGCAGGAAAACAGTGGAAGTGTTGTTTATGTTTCCAGCATTAAGGTCTCTGTGCAGATCACTCAGATTACCGCAGTGAAACATCCTGATATGCTGGAGCTGTTTTTTTTTACCAATATACGACTGTGTTTTTACTTTTTCTGCTTTTTGCATGGTACTGTATGTCCGGGAAAACCATTATAAGGATGTTGCGTTGTTGCTTTGCTTCATGTGCTCTGCTGTGTTTGTGAATTTAATCAATCGATTGATTGTCTGCAGTCGCAGAGAGTGAGGCCAGGGAAGGATAAAGCCCCCGACCGCAGCCCCATGATGGAGGGAGGAATGCAGCTCCTGAACCGCGACGGGCATAGCGTCTCGCACAACTCAAAGCGCCACTACCATGACTCTTTCGTGTCCATGAACAGGATGCGGCAGAGGGGTCTGCTGTGTGACATCGTGCTGCACGTGGGAACCAAGGAAATCAAAGCCCACAAGGTTGTCCTGGCCTCCTGCAGCCCCTACTTCCACGCCATGTTCACAAGTAGGTACCCCATGGTGCTACAGTTTACTGATGTGTGGGGCTCAAAAATGTAGCACTCCCGTTGCACAGTGGTTAAATCCAGTCCAGGCTTTATTATGAGCTGCAGGTTGTGTTATCTGTCATCATCAGATATTGGATATTTTTTAAGGCTTGTTTTCACAGTTCTGAGTAATTTCGCTCAAGACAAAAGTTACCAAAATTGTTTTTCTGCTTGTGACATGCAAAATGGATCACGCTGTTTCCTTGCCGCTCCCCAGTTTTTGCTTTTCCTTCCTAACATGTGATGGCATGCACTTCTTGAAATAAGAAATCTTTTATGCGATATATTTTTTACAGTGCGATAAACAGATTCATACCACCAGCAAGCATGCTTTCTAAATGGAAGGTGCTCTTTGTTCATAAAGAATAGTGAATTTTTTTGCAGATTAAAATAATTCATATTGATTTGGCTGTTGCTTCTGTACAAAGCAACTTGTATTTGTACCCATTTATACAACTTGGTATTGTACTGATTCAGTCTGAGTGAAGCACCTTGTTCAAGGATACATAAGCAGTGCCTTACCTTGGACTTGAACCCATAACCTTTCAGTTCCAAGTCCAAAATCCTGCTTTCCTAAACCCATAATCCCAAACGTTAACCATGCTGGTCCACAATCCCAACCACATAATCCCACTATCTTTACCACGCTATTTCACTATCCTAACTTACCCATGTTATTCCACTTTATGAGCAACGGCACAGATCTATGACTTTTAATGCAACATATTAGTATAATGGCAGATGTTCCATCCAAGACCCCTATAAAAGCATTTTACGCTAATGTCAGCAAGCCTACCTGCTCCATACTCATGCAGTCTAATTCTGTGCTCGGATTGGAGAGCCTCTTACGGCCTTGATCCTGGGTTTGTGTGTAGCTTATCTAGAATTTTACTTCCTGCTTCCCTTTCATTGCCATTCTTCTGTTTTGTTTTCTTTCATGACGTAGGTCACCTGGTGTGGTGTCTTTCCCTGCTCCCCCCCTCCCCCCTGCACCTCAATCTAGAGCAGTGTTGGGGTATGTCACTTTCCTCTGCACAGGGGCTGCTGAAGAACTGGGGCGCATGTGTATCTGCCTGTATCTTGGAAGTTTGTCTTCTAGGTACAAGGGCTTTTGCTGGGGATCAAGACCTTTCTAGCAGAGCAGGATTTTCTTACAGTGTCTGCTTACTGACACTATAACCCAGCAGTATCGTGCAGCTTGATCTCTGTATGACAAAGACCTAAGGAACAAAGAGCAAATTTAATTTTAAAGTGCTCTTGGTGCTACAGAAAATTAAAAAAATTTAACAAAACACAAATATACACTTCAAGCAGCTTAAAAAAAAAAAGAAATGTTTAAAGGCATCAAGAGTTTCAAAATTCCTGGCGATTTGTGATTTGAAACAGACTTCCACAGATCCAGTACTGAACGGTATTGTTCATGAAGTCGACTGATGTTAAAAATAGAGTGCCACTCCTCTCTCCTAAACAAAATATAAAGGCTGTGTTAAAACAAAGGCAGTTCCTGAGGGTTCACTCATAACCTGGTCCTGTATGCAAGCAAGATAGTGGCAGGTACCTTTCTCCAGAAGTGGGTTCGGGGTCACTAGGAAGCCGAGCTCCTGGGTCACGGGACACAGCATGAAAAGATGCTGTGTCTTAAAGCCTGATCCCTAGCAGAAGCCAAAGTGTACACTCACAGGGCAAGGTATAAGTCCCGCAGTCAGTAATGTGCTGGGCCTCTGTAAGCAGTAGTGATCACTTACACCTGGCTTGACACGCGATGCACACCTGCAGCCCGACCCCGTACAGGGTCTTCATCAGCTCAGGCCGTGATGAGGGAAAAGGTGAGTGGGGTTGAACTGCGTGTTTCACCAGTTCTCGGTAGGAATGGAGAATTGGGGGGTGTGGGGGGGGGGGGGGGGGGGGAGGATGGGCATTCCTAATATTCTGGCCTGTGAGTGGATGTGCAGTATCTAACTAAATAATACCAAAACAAAATCCTGACGGGTCTTCTTTACAGCTTGTAATGTTGATGCATTTTTCTGTTCTTGTTGTCGTCGTTGCTGTTGCCTCCACAGGCGAAATGTCAGAGAGTCGGCAAACTCACGTGACCCTGCACGACATCGACCCCCAGGCGCTGGAGCAGCTGGTGCAGTACGCCTACACTGCTGAGATCGTGGTGGGAGAGGGCAACGTCCAGGTGTGCACCGTTTCTGTCGTTTAAAGGAACAGAACAGCGTTCCCCTGTTGTGTGGATGGATGTTCACGATGGGGATATTTGGTGGGTGGACAGTGGGCAGGTCAGGACAGGCGGACAGCTCACTGCTGAGGGATCCAGCACATTCAGTATCAGAGGGCATGACTTCGCCATTCAAACAGCATACGCTGTAGTCAATTAAGCCATCATCTGGGACAGTGCCAACCCTTGAGCCAGAAAAGATACACATCACAATTATTGCTGTTTCCACTCCGGGATGAATCATAGTTTCATACAGTGCTCTGTGTTGGGAGGAGACATTGTTATGGCTTCTGACTAATACATTGCATTCGTAGATATAGGTCTGCCGCCTTTTTACATTAAAGCTGGCGTGTTTAATCTCTGCCAGTGTGACTTCAGGCCCGTGCTGTGATGTCCGGTGATAATTAAGATGTACAGTTTACAGTGGTGCTGCGTACACTGTGTGTTCTGCAGTGCTTTCCCACAGCTCCGTCCACAGGATGGCAACAACGCCGAGCGCTGGAGAAAGGCCCGCTTCTCCCCCCTTGACCGGGCCGGGGGGGGTGCTTGTCTCAATGCCAGTACAGTTTTATGAACGTATGCGCCACAACAAAGCTGAGAACTGCTGGGCAGGGGGTTGGCGATTCTGTCAGCAAGATCCTGGAATTAACCTAGACGACAGCTTGCTTCATATACAAGTATTTCTCACTGGATTCGCTGTAATAATGAGTGATCAGCTCGAACAGAGAAGTGAGAGCGAATTAAGTGCACGTTGTTCACCCCTGCCAGGGCGCAGGAGCAATCCTGATCTCTGAGCAGAGGCTCCCGCTGGCTGAGCTCCCCCTGGTCTCCCCTCACCTCTCCCTCATCTGCCTTCGCAGACCCTGCTCCCCGCTGCCAGCCTGCTCCAGCTCAACGGCGTGCGGGACGCCTGCTGCAAGTTCCTCCTCAGCCAGCTGGACCCCTCCAACTGCCTGGGCATCCGGGGCTTCGCGGACACGCACTCCTGCAGCGACCTGCTCAAGTCGGCGCACAAGTACGTCCTGCAGCACTTCGTGGAGGTCTCCAAGACGGAGGAGTTCATGCTGCTGCCCCTGAAACAGGTACAGGCCTCGCCTGCCTCCTGCCTGCTTGTGCCCGTCGACGTGCGACTTTTAAGCTGACAGCGTATGTCCGCGTTGGTCTTGTTCGAGAACTCTACGCGCGTTTGCAAAGCATGGCACGGTAAAGAAAATGTTGTCATCCGTGGATTATTACCTATTCGGGTCACATCAGCCTACAGACTGTCTCAGAGGCACAGGGCATGAGGCAGGACAGCACCCTGGAGGGCACAGGTGTCTTTCTGTTATTGCTCAGAAGGGCCAGACATTGACGAGCCTTTGAGAGAGTGCAGATTGAGGGTTTGGGGGCTTTAAGGCTTTCCTGTATTACTTGGACTCCTGGGGAAGAAAACAAAAACATGAATGGAGATTAAGGGATCATGATTTTATCCTCTTTAACATGAAAGGAACCTTTCAGTATGGGGCTCAGGTTACCCACGGTAATCACTGCAAAGTTGCCAGAATTCTGCTTTTAAGTTTTGATTTAATTTCATGTAGGAAAACTGCAGTTATGCCCACACACACACAAGGTAGAGGGGTTAAACCAATGTTAAAGAATACAGCTGCATTATAAGAACATAAGAATGTTTACAGAGCGGAGAGGAGGCCCATGCAGTTCAATTTGCCGCTGGTAGCTAATTGACCCCAAGATGTCATCAAGGATGTTTCATGGATGAAGCTTTGACAACTTGGCTGGATAGCTTGATGCAGATATCCGCAAACCTTTGGGTAAAGGTGTTCTCGTTCCCAGTTTAAAATGCTCTTCGCCATACTTTTTATTGCGTCCCAGTTTGTACTTTGCTGATCCTGAAGAAGTCTCTGGTGTCAACAGTGTTAGTTCTTTTGGCAATTTTGAATGCTCGAATCAAAGGCACCTCATATTCTTCTGTCTTCAGGGCTAAGGAGGTTCAGTTCTTCCAGGCTGCCAGAATGGGATATTCCTTCAAGCCCAGGAGCACATGTTGCTCTCCTCTGGGGCAGTTTCAGAGCAGAAATATTTAATTTTGTAACATAAAAGTCCAGAACTGTACACCACCTTCTAAATGAGAGTCTTACGAGCACAATGTACAATTATAAAAGGACATAATTTCAAAGCAAGTGAGGAAAACAGTGAAGAGAAAAAAACACTTGTCTGAAGCATGACCAGATCCCAGAAGTGCTTAATGAAGGTACAGCTCCAGGATGGTCTTTCTACATTCTGTCCTACAGCTGCAGAACCAACCCAATAATAATGAAAGGCGTCTGAGATCCAAGACCTACAACAGCATGTGGAGCTTGTGCTGGCAGAGCTCTGGTGAGTCAGATCTTGGAGAACATGACCTACTTACAGAAGAGAGCAGTAGCAGAAAACCAGACCACTTCAGTGGCACATTAGTCCACATGGCAGGAGCATCGCAGGCAGCTTTTTTGGCCAGTTGATTTTTCCCAACGTACACTTAGGCGTAGGAGAAACCACTTAATACATTTCCTGATCTTCATGCTGGAGCCGATATAGGGAACCATGGCAGAATACAGGCTTGGTCCCGTTGTTTTCCAATTCCACTGCCACAGCTGTGCAGACAATAAGAACTCAACATCCAGAGCAGCTTCAAGGGGTACAGGGGCCCCCTGTTCCCCCGAGAGAGAGAGACAGCCCTTTTTCAGAAGACGGTTCTGTTTTGTTACCCGAGGCCAGGCAGGAGGGGCAGGGGCGGATGTGTGTTGTGCTCTCGCCGTTCGTGACCGCTCTCCGCGGGAGCAGTGCCAGCTCCCAGGGGCGAGGGGGCACGCCGCGAGACCTTCCTCCTCCCCCGGTTGTGAATAAAAGAAAAGGGGTACAAGGATCACCCACGGGGGCATCGTCGAGTCCGATTAACCCCCTGCGCCCCCTCTTTCGTCAAAATGTTCAATGGTTTCCCTGTCCCTTCCCTCTCCGATGCGTGAAGCAACTGAAAGTGCGTTGTGTTCTGTGCGTGCTTCTCAGCCAACCAGTATCCTAGCAACAGCTGACAGATGCGTGTTTTCTTCCTCTAGCAAGAACTGCCCCTCGTGTCAGCGCCACCAGAGGACTCGGCTTTCATGACAGGCTTCGGTTTAAAGGCACTGCGATTATTATTATTTTTAAACTGTTAAGAAGACCCCCAGTCCCGTTGCAGTGACAAGTTCGTTTTCATTTTTCTGACATAATCTATAAAGTTACGCAGCCCCTTCGTCTAATGCAAGGCAATCAGTGTTCTGGAGCTCTACGTCACCAAAATGTTTATGAAAAGGTAAGCGTTCAGGAATTGTAAAACTGCAGTTCCGAGTTAAAATAAACAAGTTACAGGTTCTTACTGCTGCTGTCTCCTGTATTTCCATGTTCACTTTCCTTTTTAAAAGGTAAATTTTCAGACCACTTAGCCAAGAGTACAACACACCTAATATTACTGTCAGTTCGGTTCTGAATGGAGCCAAATAAGAAATGCTTTTCTGTGATTTCTGGGATTGTTAATGAAGTCAAATGCAGACCAGGCACTCTGTGCACAGATGTTGCTTCCACTTAGCAGCAAGCGTTGTGATTCCATTTATCACGACACTGTGATTCATCATCCCTGCCTCTAAATCCACAGCAAGTTGTTTCAATTGTGCTGCACTGTAAATTCACTCTGGATGAATTCCTTAAATCTGCTGACGCATGATTAAACCCTGTTGGACATATTTAAGAGTCTTCTAAGATTAATATACATTATCATTACACACTGAACTCTCTATTCTGTTTTATTGTCTAATGGCACTGTTTTTCCCTTTTTTCTATAGTAGACACACAAATACCATATCCTAGCAACATTTAAAACAATCAGTCCAGTTCCCAGGATTAAGAATTATTAATGAAAATTAATTTAAAATTATCCAGTCACCTGTCACAGGTGCAGTTTCACTGCTGGGATTCAGTGACATCATCAACCACTTAGTACCAGGAGGAGCATGCAATACTCTACGTAATAATAGATAATGAAGTTATAATGTTTGTGCCAAGCAATAATAAATGAGGGTGAAAGACTGCACACTGCACAGTGTAGCGTGGGCCTGAGTCGCTGTCTGCCTGGGGTTTCTGTACATTCTCCCAGTGTGTGTGGGTTTCCTCCAGGGGCTCTGGTTTCCTCCCACAGTCCAGAGACATGGGGAGCCAGAGCCTATCCCCAGCCTGCAACGGGCACAAGGCAGGACAGGGTACAACCTGGACGGAATGCCAGTCCATTGCAGGGCAGACGGACACCAACACGTCCACACAATTTTCCCGTAACAATTAACCTACCTGTACTGGATAAAGCGGTTAGAAAATGACAAGGAGGTATATCTGTCCCCATAAAAGTCCATTACACCATACTCCAGATCGTGGACAGACCCAGGCCTGTGGGAGCACAGGGCGTTGTGGGTTTTGGCAGTACGTCTCAAGTGTGCCTCTTTGCCCAGGTGCTTGACCTGATCTCCAGTGACAATCTGAACGTCCCTTCGGAGGAGGAGGTTTACAGAGCTGTGCTGAGCTGGGTCAAGCACGACATCGACGGGCGCAGGCAGCACGTTCCCAGGGTGAGTCCCAGGCCAGGAGTGGACTTTAGAATACCCCATGTTGGGGGAAAAGAGCAACGTGTGTCGTTTATCCACTGTTTCGAACTCACACCTTGCTCCCAGCGACTTTCTCTCAGGCGCTGACCTCCCAGGATTCAAAGCGGCGCAGCCTGGGGGGTCAGAGGCTAAGGGGGTGCCCTCTGTCTCCGTGTGCCGCAGCTGATGAAGTGCGTGCGGCTGCCCCTGCTGACGCGGGACTTCCTCATGAGCAACGTGGACACGGAGCTGCTGGTGCGGCACCACTCGGAGTGCAAGGACCTGCTCATCGAGGCCCTCAAGTACCACCTGATGCCCGAGCAGCGCGGCGTGCTGAGCAACAGCCGGACCCGGCCGCGCCGCTGCGAAGGTGCCAGCCCTGTGCTCTTCGCCGTCGGTAAGGGGTGACGGAGGAACCCGGCCTTAGGCCCCATCGGGAAAGGCGATTTGCTTGGAGTGCAAGTTGAGCGTCGGTTGCGAGCCAAACGTTTCTAGTTCGCGCCTGCGTAGCATTGCTGTGACCTATGATCTGTGACCTGTGACCTGTGCCCACAAGTGGAAAATACAGTTTAACTTTCTAAATGCTAAACTCTCTTACATATTGCATTTAAAACCAAAATAAAATGATTGTTTCAGCCAGACATCAGTGGTAATTAAGCTTGCGGGGTCTCTCCTCTCCACCGGGTGGCGCTGGCGAGCCGGCAGTGTGTCCTGTTAATGAATGGCTCTGCAGAATCTGTGGAATCGCCACTGGGGAGCTGGGTCTTGAACAAACATTCAGCGGTTCCTAACTTGGACGTGCATTTAACACGAAGTAACTAACTGGAGACTCCACATTTGTAAAGAGATGAGAAGAAACCTAAAGGCAAAGTCCACCCAGTGGCTAATTACAGAATTCGTAGCAGATGGCATCTTCCGCCCACTGCAATCCCAGCAGGATGAGGCGTGGTTTGTAACTGCAGTTTGGAGTTCGGAGTTAAGAGGAGGTGCGTGGTTATTGAAGTCTCTGATGCTCTGCTTGACTCCGCTCTGCTCAGTGACTGGCCATGATGCAGCCGTGTCCTAAGAGAGATGATGTTGGCAGAGGCTCGTGATGAGACCTCCGCTGCGTGTTCAGCCTCAGGGCCCGTAGGTGTGCCAGGCAGAGAGTGACTGGGGTGTCGTTGTGTGCAGGGGGGGGCAGCCTGTTCGCCATCCACGGGGACTGCGAGGCCTACGACACGCGGACCGACCGCTGGCATATGGTGGCTTCCATGTCGACGCGGCGAGCCAGAGTGGGCGTGGCCGCCATTGGGAACAAGCTGTACGCCGTCGGAGGGTAAGAGGGCAGGGCTTGCTCCCCCATTGACCTGCTGTCTGCTGCACGTAGCCTCATTCCAGTCCAGCTTTCAGGTCTCCCTGAATCATCCACAGCCGAAGTTGTCTGATCAGGCCCATGATTAGTTTAATTAGGTAAATAAAAAGGCAGCACGGTTGATGCAGTGGTTGCCTCACTGCGCTGGGGCCCTGGGTTCAGTTCTGGACCTGGGGTGCTGTCTGTGTGGAGTTTATATGTTCTCCCTGTTTGTGTGGGTCTCCTCCGGGTGCTCTGGGTAATAGGCTTCTGGGAAAAGAGTGTGTGCGTGTTTGTGTCTGCCTGCCCGACAATAGACTGGGTGTACCCTGCTTTGCGCCCGTTGCATGCTGGGATAGGCTCCGGCTCCCCCACAATTGGATAAAGCAATTATAAGATGGACGAAAAACAAAAGCTCTGCTGAAAGAAATATCTTTAGGACATTAAGTCCTACAAGGACCAAAACTATACTGTGCATTGAATTAAAAATAATACTTCTGAGTAAAAAACCATTCAGCAGATTGCTTTTACAGGATAACTCTTGATCTCGCATTCCATGTAAATAAGTCACTGCATGGCAAATGCACTGCCAGGACACACGCTTTTAACACAACATCCAGAATTTTATTTTTCCTCTTAACCAAGTCGTGATAAAACACCCACGAAAGAGGTAAGTCATTTGTGCTAAAAATAGCTGGAGTTCAGTGTTTTAACTTTTCACAAGAGCTCCCTCTAGTGGTTTGGAGAATGTCACGTACAGGTAGAACCCTGCTGCAGAGCTCCTAGGTCATGTCTTTGTGTGGCTTAACGGGCTCTTGCTTATTTCAGGTACGACGGCACCTCAGACTTGGCCACTGTGGAGTCATACGACCCCGTGACCAACTCGTGGCAGCCTGAGGTTTCCATGGGAACGCGGCGCAGCTGTCTGGGCGTGGCTGTGCTGCACGGGCTGCTCTACGCTGCAGGGGGCTACGACGGAGCTTCCTGTTTGAACAGGTATGCCTTCGCCGAGCCTTTCTGGTGCTGCGTGGGGGGAGCACTGTATTACATGTAGGATACACATGACAAGCCTGCTTAGCAGCGACTGGCTCTCTGCCCCCTGTATCCGTTAGCACCGCCACACTGACTGTGCTGACCAGACCTCTGTGCCCTGTATCGGTTAGTACTGCCACACTGACCAGCTCTCTGTGCCCTGTATCTGTTAGCACCACCACACTGACCAGCTCTCTGCCCCCT